TTCATTCAATATTTTACTTTTAGCTACATCAATGAAAAAAACCCGTGTTGCTTATTTTCTACCTGATAGCGATACTCCATTTGTTATCCAAGTTGCAGTACCGCTTGAATCCATCACACTTAAAGATATTCTTCCTCGATTACATATATCATCAACAAATCAACGTAATGGTTTGAGTACAAATACTTCACTCGATTACTTTGTTAAACATCGTGCTTCAAATGAAAATTGGCTTGGTGGTGATACACAATTTATTAATGAGAAAATTGATGATTATGATGTTCCGCTACCAAATATTGATGGAACGGTGGTGATTAGAATTCTTAATAATAGTTAGACAATTATTCTATTTGTGTTTTTTTTTGTTATTGTTGTTGTTATGTCTTTATGAATGTATAATGACTCTTTTCTTTTTTCTTTTTGTTCTTATATGAATTGAGTAATGTGGATATACTGATGATTCATAAATTTAAACACAGTGCAGATACATATATATATGCAATATGTTTTTGTAAGAATGAATGAAAGATATCAAAGTAACATTTAAGTTTTCTTTTCTCATGATATATCGAAAGAGAAAAATCAATCATGCAGAAACTATAGAATAATATATGTCAGGTAGGTTGTTTGAATGAGTAAGAAAAAAACAAATCATACGAAAAAAATACATAGAGAGAGATACATGCGTTGATCAATTTCAGTTATTCATTAGAAGTAGAAACTTTATATATGTAAGTAGCTGATTTTATATATTTTGATTTCATACAACAAAAATCATTAGTAATTTGATATTCAGTTATTATCTATTTATAAGATCTTTGAAAATATTTTCTTGTAGTTTTCCTTTTCCTTCATTTCACTGGACTATGAATCATACACAAGGTCATGATTCTATTTCTTTTAGAAAATATGTGCCTTTTGTTTTTAGATTATATTTTTATATATTGAATATACGAGATGGTCGTACTTACTACAGATGTTATTGTTACATTAGTCGTTGTTGGTGTAGTTTTAATTCTTATTCTTCTTATACTTTTGGTAATATATACATTTGAAAAAGATCTTTTTTTTTAAATCTTATTTATGAACATTTAGATTTGTTGTTTATGTCGAAAATGTGATCAATGTGCTAGATGGTCAAGGCAAAAAGCAATAGTACAGAACGATACGAGAAGAGAACAGGAGATTGCTGAAAGTCGTCGTGAATTTAACGAAATTCGACAACAACATGAAACAGTCCATGAACAACTTCGAGTAAAATACAATCTCAATAATGGCAATTCTAACGTTGCAGTTCTATCATAGTTTATTTATTTTTTTGTATCCTATTATATATATTTTTGTATCGATGATCTTGAACAGATGATGATCATGATAAATGTGTTATATTTTATCTTTTTGATACATTACAATTCTGCAAATGTATAAGTCAATATTTAATCGATGTCTATCTCACTTGAGAGTCCAGTGTCTGTCTGGTCTAACACCTATAGCAATTTACTAAATTGACATAGATGAAAACGAGTATTGTTCGTTTCGTCTCACGCGACAAATGTCTCTATTCCATATTACTTATGAGAGTTGAATTAAAATACATTTTTTTTCTTTCACTTTCAATAGGCCTATCATTTCTTTTTTGTGTATATGAGAGTTCAACTGTTCTATTCGCGTCAATAGTCCCTTCTGTTATTATTGCTGCTGCTTGATTAACACAGTGGGTATATGCATATTACAATGAGTGACAAAGAAATGAGGTCAAGTTGAATACAAGGATCCTACTCATAGTGGACGAAAAAAAGAAAAGTATCGATACCCAATATCACACTATATTACTATTGTATTTTTTCAATATATACATATATGCATATATACTTATACATTCAAACATGTTAACGATATATCTTCAAAACCATTCAAGTAAGACTATCATAATAATAACTAAAGAGACTATTACAAGGTTCTAACTGATAAGAATAAATATATTTATATATCATAGCTGCTGTTATCTTTTTATTCTGTCATTATATGACATATTAGTAATGAGTTGTAAGATGAAATGATTTATTATGAAGTTTCTTTGGAGATTGTCAAAAAAAATTGGGTAATTTTTCCATCAGAAATATAAAACTGAATGTTTCTTGTTATTTGAGAAATATTATTGACTAATCGATTTTTATTTCCCAACTGTTTGTTTTAGATAGACACATATTTATTCTATCGTATTCGAGAATTTTCTTCTTGTTACCAAATAATAGTCATCATCAGTAAAGAAAGACTAGAACGACAGAAAGAAGAAAAAACTGACGATTGAACAATTCTACTCTTTGCTATTCTTCATCATCATTTTTGACAGACAAGCCAAGAAAATAGTTCGTACTATAGTAAGAAGGCGTACTGGCAGACACTCGATCTAACTCAATGTGGAAAAAGGAAAAGAAAAAAAAATAGGGAAAAAAATGGGTTGAGATAATTTCTTCGATAGTAGCATGAAGCAGTAAGAAACGAGCGAGAAAAGAAAGAGAAGAGAACAAACAACGGGTCGTCGCTTGATTAAATCAGGCAGCTAAGGCGCAGATGACGTGCTGCCAGTGCCCGAAACCGAGTAGAAGAGAGAGAAAAAAAGAAGAAGACGATGCCGAAGAAAAAAATATAGACGTCGTTGTCTTTTCTTTCTCGTTTTCCCTTTTTTTTCCTTTTACCCCTGCTTTCTGTTATTGTGCGTGCAGAATGCAACACACGCAACCCAAAATTCCTCATCATTCTATCATTATTTGCTAGTCCAAGAAACAACAAACGAAGACACATATACACCCACATATAGAAGCGACTGATCATTTCCATATATATATTTTTTTTTGTCGATCGTTTTTCTCCGTATTATCTAAAACGAAATAAAATAAGGTTCAACGCACACGCGTTATGTTATTTGGATTGGTCAACAAACGACAATCAGTAAGTTTCTTCTTTTTCTTTTACTTAAACAAATGCACTATGTTGTGTAATCAGACAGTACCAGGTGCCTAGCATACTGTTAACTCTTTCTTTTTTTTGTTTCTCTTTCTCTGTTAATTATCGTACTCGTAATATAAACTAAATGTAGGTGAGTCCCATCATCGGACATACTCGTTTCGGACCTATCATGATTGAACTTGGCAGCTGTTAATATTCGCATTCATTGAGATTAGTCAATTAAAACGAGACGACAGTTTAACTCAATGGATATAAATATCTATGAGACGAGACCTTTTCAATAAATATATTTCTAAACGAAGGCCTTTTTCAGTAATAATTCTTCGAAAAAAAAAGTGAAACAAGGTCTAGAATAAGAAGGCTTGAAATCGTCCCATTAATGATAACATGTACATATAACATGCAGTAAGAAAAAAAACGACGAAGAAGAAAAAAAAAGGAGAGAAGAGGTAAAAGCATATGAGTGGAAAAAAGAGTTGGAGGCCGTTCATTTATACATACACATGGTAATGCTTTGACTCTTGCAAAAAAAGGAAAGAAAAGTAAAAGTATTGGAATAAGATATGAATATGGTATGAGCATACGAACGTTTGTGCGCTCTCGAGTAAGCGAACATGATTTATCTATCTCACGAAACCAAACGCATGTTGGCGAGAGGGTTACAATGATAGAGGAGGATGATGACGATGATGATGATGATGAAGATGGTAAGGATTGATGTGAAAGAGAAGAAATACTAAAAGAGAAGAAAAAAAAATATTGAACAGTGTATGTTTATATCGTTCTATCTTATGCGTATAAGAATCAAGGTATTTATTACGAAATTGATCTAAACATTTTTATTTAAAGATGAAGATTTCTATCAAACATAATCAATTTAGTTTTTTGTTTTTTTTATTAATATCGAAAAGGTGTACAACTAAATTAATAGTTTAATTATGTTTTTATATGATTTCTTTTCTTCTCATTTTATTCTATGTGTGTAATCATGCGTTTCAAGGTTCGACTAAAACGATGAGATGATATGTGTGATGCATCTAAGTAACGACTGAAAGCATCAAAGTAGCCATTTGAGAAAACATCTGCGAGTCTATTATTAATTCTCGTCGCCTTTCAGCCCGCCTTTCTTGTTCTTCCTTTTTTCCCCTATTGCTCGGCATCGAAAGAGAAGACGATAGTAATATCGAAGCCTTGCATGCTCGTCTTTGCTTGCTATCATCACTTGTGTATTCGGCCTTTACATCAATCTTTATTGATGAGAAAGGAAAGAAGTCAAGTCTTATACTATAACTATATATATATGTATATGTATGTAAATATATATATTCATAATCCTGTATTATAGTAAATTCCTTCACTTCACAATATATAATTGTCAATAAAACATGTCAGATTCTTTATTTTAATTAACAAACTATCGAGTAGAAAGAAATACCAATATTTTTATATATGTACGTATGAATGCTGTTTCAATTTTCTTCTCGCCATCCTCACATTACACATCTTACATTGTCTTTTCTTCTTTTTTTTTATCTTCCCTCCCTTGTTTACAAGCATACAAGTTCACTAATAAGATACATAGTCGATAATAGAGTTCTTCTTCTTCTTTTCGCGTCGGGACAGCTTCGAAAAAAAATAGTGCATACTGTCACTATTACAATTCTCCTCGTTATCATCATCATAACTATCATCATTATCATCAATAACAACATCATCATTATCGTCAACATTTTTTATTCTCTTTCGTTCATCAAACTTTTATTTCGAAATATAGTTGGCAAGCTTATCATTATTAACACGCAGAGTGTGAGAAAAAAAAACCCCGAAAAGAAAAAAAGAATGCATGTCTAGTGTCTATCTTTCGTTGTATTCATTTGTCCGACCAAAGTAAAGTAATATCAATCAGTAATAATATGTTATTGAGGTCAACAATGAGGTAGCGATGCATTGAGGTTTATTCATACATAAATAAAATATTTTAAATTTTTTCTTTTTTCTTTTCTTAGTTGCCTCCATGTTCAATCAGAACTGTCGGACAACATTAGTTTCTCAATTGCTTGATTCAATTAATGATCATTTGAAAGACGCTCATTCACCAATGGAAGAACAACCACAAAAACAGCAACAGCAACAACAACAGCCCCAGTCACCCGAATATGAAATGTCTGTTGATAATCCGGATGAAGATGAACTTTGGTTGAGTGGTCATCGATCTATATTCTCATCTTATGGAAGTTGTTGTCGTAAAGCACCACCACAACTTCGTGATAGTCAATACGAAGGCTTTCATTGGGATTTATATGAAGATCGTAATTATCATCATCTTGCTTTTGAACAAGAACAACAAGAAATTCCTGCTCCATGTCAAGCAACAAGTCTTTCTGAATGGTCAATGCGTTTAAGTTCAGGTGTTATCGGTGGTGGAGGTGATACTGAAGATGATGCCGATGTTGAAGGTGATGATACAACCTCATCGTCTGACCCACCACGTACATCATGGCATGCTATAAAATCAAAATCTATTCATCGAAGTTGTTCATCATCATCAGCTAATACATCAGATGCGAGTGGTCATCGATCACGTAGTCCACTAACATTATATCGTTTATTTCAACGTACAAGATCTCAACAACACCCGTGTCGTTTATATCAAAATTTTAGTGATAAAAGTATATGTGATTCATTAACATCATCATCTTGTTCAAATTTAAATAAATTAAATGAATCAATGAAACAAGAATATAAAATACCAATACCAAGATTTAAATTAAAAAGTCCAACAACTTTTTCACAATTAAAATTAAATAAATCCAGTAGTCATAATGATCTCTCATCATCAACGGAACAGTCATCAACAAAAAGTAAAGACCATTTCAAGGGTAAGTTGAAAATGAAATATGATGATATTAAATGAAAATGAAGGATCAAATGATTAGTTATCACTAAATCCGTTTACAAATGAAAATAATTGAACAAATATAATTTCTTTTACTTGTCAAAATTATATGATTGACATTTAAATAATAAGTTTTTGTTTCTATATATTCTCTTTCATTTTAGTTTCTAATCAAATTGTTGCACCACGACATAGTGTTGATCAATGTCTTCAAACATCTATACATGTTGACAATAATCTGTCATCTCAACCTAAATCAACACGTCGTTTTATTCCACGATCAACTTCTCGACCTATAAACACAGACAATCATTGTTTGCAAACAGACAATGGATCCGTAACGCGTTCGAAAAGTGTTGATCGTTTATTGAATAATAATAGCAATAATCCTAGTCAACCATCAAAACTTCCATCTTCAACATCTCATCCATCATTACCAACGATTTCATCTTTGCCAGATCTTAGTTTTCTTGTTTACTATGCGAAAGAAAATCCAGCCCCGCCACCACCACCACCATCTACACCTACAATTCAAACAACACATTTTCAATCAGGAATGAAAACAACATTATCTGAACCATCATCATTAACAAAAAAAGGAATACGTACTGTATTCTATTGTAGTATTAAAGTGCCATCGTCAACAGTATCATCGTCATCATCATCTAATCTCTTGAGACCTACATCACTTCATCCTCCGATGTCAATAATGCAAAGGCCACGAACACTTAAAGAAATTAAACGTATTAAAAATATTAAAACAAGTCCAACAACAATGAATAATAGCCCACTTCGTGCCTTACCACTTAGTCCATCTGTTCCATCAAATATTGACAATCATATGAAAGAAGAGGAAACAGCTACACTTTCATCTACATGTTCAAGTACATCAACGAGTGCAAATAGTACATCAAGTAGTGGTTATTTTAGTAATAGTTCAACAAATCATCCACGTCATATTCAAACACCTACATCATCATCATATCCACTTAAATCATGTTTAAAACGAGCTAAAACTGAAGATTTAACAAGTACACCATTAGCGAGTACGCCATCAACAACGGCGAATGTGCTTGCAGTTGGAACTGCTGGTGATATATTTACATTAGCTGCACAAAAATTAGCGGCTACACTCGGTGATCATAGTTTAAAAGCAGCACGACATCGACGTTATTCCGCACCAACTATTTCATGGCGTCAACAAAATTATTCTATGCAGTTACGTACACGACAAAAAGGATGTACATTATCTGAACATGATCTTCGTGCAAAGAAAAGTGTTAGTTTTTGTGATGATATTGCTCGAAGACTTATAACACCATCGGCTAGTCCTAAACATCGACCAACACCACCACCAATTACAAGACCATTTAGACATGATCGAGGTATGGATAATTAATTTTTCTTAATGAAATTATTAAATATGAAATAAACTTTTTTTTTCTTCTCTATAGATTATTGTGATTTAGTACCACGAGAAAGTTTAACAGATAGTCCACCGTGTGAATTTAATTTATCTGACGATGATCATGATGATAATAATGAACAACAACCAATGAATTTTATCGAACATGCACCATCAGAATTAGCAAAACCATTACCGGTTAAATATGGAAGTGATAAATATCTTGTTGATGCATTTGCAAATACAGTTCTTCATGTATTAGAAATTAAATGTGGTGATCCTCAAGTAATTATAATTTATTTTTATTTTCTAAATTTTCAATATATATATATATTTTTTTAGTCTTATTATTTAAATAATATAACTAACCGAGAACTTGATCGAACACTTCGTCAAGATTTATGTCCATTATTACGTGAAGTACTTGAAGATGGTTTACGACAATATAGTGGTTCTTTATTTTCAAAAAAAGTCAATTTATGGCGTTTAATTGATTTAACAACACCAACAACGGACCGTTTGAATGAAGCTAAAACTAAAGCACAATTAGGACTACCCTCAACAGCTGATTGGATTGAAAAATTCAATGCATTTATTTATCATTTACTCAAGTAAAAATATATTTGTATTCTTAATATGTATATATATATAATTGTTTTTTCTTCTTCATAGTCTTCATGAACTTGCATCATGGCTATCACATTTCATATCCCATCGTGCAACATTTACTGGATATTATGAATCATGGGCATTCATACTTGTACATGCAGATAATGATCTATTTGAACGTATTACAAATCAATTAGAAAAACTATCACCCTTACCCTTTCGTCTTAAATATATTCATTCATCAAATGTTATTCCAGCAGCAAGAACACCATCAACTACTACAACAGCAAATCAACGTCCTACTTCATTATTACCAAAACGTTTCAATGTTCGAGCTTGGTTACGTGATCGTAAAACTCAAGTCAAAATTTCACCAAAAGAACCACAAGTTCCTACTCCTCCTTCATCAACATCATCATCAATAAATAAACTGAATTCATCGTCTACAAATCTACCATCAAAACCAGTATCATCTGTGGCAACGAAGCCATCAGCAGCCGTAACATCAGTACCACAACCACCAAATGTTTCTGTACGGCGTAAACTTGGCTCAATTCCAGTACCTAAACGACATCAAACAGTGCATTAAAACAATGTGTTTTATATCTATCTATCTATAAATATATATATGTTTATGTTAATTTATAATCGCATTCAAAATGCTGATATATTGTCGTATATTCTCAATTGTTGTTTTTTATTGGTTCTTTTTTTTCTTCTTTTTTTCTTCTTGTCAAGTAATTTTTTTAAATGTTTGCGTGTATGTGTGTCTTTATGTTTTTAAACAATTCACAGTATTTCTATCTTTATTTACCTTAAACTACCCTCCTTCTTTAATCAGTTTAATGAGTTGTTTCGATCAGTTCTCATTTTTCTTTTCTGTGTTCAAATGGTTAAAAAAAATCAAAATAAATACATACGTATAGTCACCCGATTTTCTAAGATTTCTTATTGTGATTGAAAATACAAATGAAGACATAGAAAAAAATGACTTATGAAAGTCTTCAGACTTTTTGATGTTAAAATGAAACAATATAGATGTGGTACTAGTCACTTCGAACGATTGATTACTTTTATTATTGAGGAGTCTCTTTCGATGGCAAGTAGAAGAAAGTGTGATTATGTATAACAATGCCATTTGTTGATTCGAAACCAGGTCATCGACCATTTCGTCGTGTACTTTATCTTAAAGATTCAACTATTAAAATCAACAAAAAAAATCTAATTTTCATCTAATAAAAGATGATCATGTTATACCTATGACTAATACAAGTAGAAAATTGTTATTAAAAGGTATTTTTTTTATAAATTTCCCTAATGAACAAATAAAATATATTAAACATGTTAGAAATGATTCATATGCACAAACTTAGTAGTTTAAGTTTGAGCATATATTCTTGCTATGAAAATAAGAGTATAAATCACATACGTATATATATAATATTTTCTAATAATAAAACGTGGAACTGTTATATGAGAATTGGAATATTTCGAAATTAATTAATGGAATTGCGTATTTTAAAAGGAATAAGAATCTATTATGACTGTGTTGTTTTGTAATAAAGATTCATTTGAAAGAAAAGAGAGCATGGCTTGGTGGTCTAGTGGTATGATTCTCGCTTAGGGTGCGAGAGGTCCCGGGTTCAATCCCCGGCCAAGCCCGGTTACTTTCTTTTTTTCTTATTTTTTCTTCCATATATTAAGTATGTCCTTTATTATTTGATATATGCATATATATTGATTTTCACGATCTCATCTATAAGAATTCGTAAGATGAGAATAAGATTATTTGTGCATAAACAACAACAACAGCAAGAAGATTCTCTTTGCAAATAAAATAACTACTCTCATTTCTTTTTCTTCGCTTTTCCTTATTCGTTCGTTCTTTTACGTTTTCTTTTTTTTTTCTTCTTCTTTTATCATTCAATAAGTTCTTCGAACAAAAGTAAAAAGACAGAAGATGAGAGAATGAAAGAGAAAAAAGAAAATTGCTTTAACTTTTCATCTATGTGGAATCAAATATAAATATAAATATAATATATATCTACATATATTTGTTATGGCAGCAGTAAAGAAAAAAAAGAAACATATACGCACATATACACATGGTGATTGAGTGAAACTATAGAGAACATTGAAGGTAACATGCCGATTTCATCTAAACGAAATGATGGTAATCAACAGACAATATATTATCATCAACGACAACAACAACCAACAAATGAATATGATGACTATGTTCATTATCCATCTTATTCGAATAGTAATTATGACTATAGAGAAGAACCTGAACAATCGAGACAATATTACGACATACGTGCATCGAATAATTCAACTGCCATTTACCGAACGTGAGTATAACAATGGCTACTCTTAAGAAATCAATTTAGACAGTCATCTTAAAAGAAAAAAGAAACCCATGAAAAGAAAGGATATAATCTTCAAATATAGTGATGGTATGTTGAATCTTTCGTTGATTTGATTTCCTTCTATATCGTTTGAAATATGATGATGATGATGATGATGAATAATAACAATATGTGGAGGTTTGATTCTCATTCTTTAGGTTGCATTATGTCATACTTTTTTTTTCACCTTTTAATGATGTTGAATCGAATAAATAGGCGAAACCTTGTTATACACTAATCATAGAAGGATATATCAATCATTGAATAAATAAGCAGAAAAAATAAATATTAAATATTAGAATGTATAAAAATTTCTCGCTGATGAATCATCATATAATGATTGTATGTCAAGCTTGATAAAAATGAGTTGATACTTGTTGCGTTAATGATATATATTGTTTAAGAAACAGTCGTAGAAAATTATTGTTGTCAAAAACATTTTATTGGTTATTTTTAATTGAATATAAGTTCTTTAACTTGATTGCTCTTTATTGTTATTTCGTATACTATCAATGCAGATTAACCTGTTGTTTTTTATCGGTAAAAACCAATTCTAATGGAAGTTTACGTCTTTTTCACCCTTATTGTACCTGGAAAAAGAACAATAAATAACATTATGTTTTAGACTAAAAACAAAAGAATTTTTCAAATACGTAAATATAGTGTGACATAAACAAAATATCAGTCATGACATTGATCAATCAATATAACAAAATAATTGGTCTTTATGTAGCAGATTTTGATAGTGCGTGTAAATAAAATCTCAATTAGTTTTTCGAGAAAAAGAAAATAAGAAGAAATTAATTGTTATTATTGTGTTTTCTATTGTTTTTTTCGTATCTTAGAAGAGAAAAATATAAGTATTAGAGAATATTTTTATTATTATTAATCATTTGTTATTCCAACAAGAAAACTATAGGATGCCTAAGTCCCCAGTTGAAAGATATTCTTTAATTGAACTTCCACCATCTTCTAATCAGAATCATCTTCAAATTCCATCAAAAGATGTTTTAATGACAAAACATTATGACTCACATCCATCTGAACGTGATACATCTCCTCGTAGTCGATTTCCTCAACCTCAACCTGGTAATAATACAACACCAATCAAATCCAGAGGACCAAGAAGTATTCCTTCATTTGAAAGTGTTGAAGTATCATCTCTAGAAAATATCAATGATTTACAACAAGATGGACCTAATTCTGTTAGTCTTGGTCTTCAAACAGATATTAATAGTGCATCTGTCATCGACTGGGTGATAGCACAAAAGAGTTCATCGACCGGCGATAGGTATATAAAGATTCAATTTATCAGTGATATGATGTATAAGTACACATAAGTCAAGTGTCTTCTTATAATGTTGATGGTAGATATGCATAAAAATAATAAGAGAAGAGAAGAGAAGAGAAGAAGACCTACCTTATGGGTAGTTAGAAAGTCGTATATAATGATGATGAAAGACAATACGTAAAAGAAAAGAAGAGAGAAAGAGAGGGAATAAGAGAATAATTCTAGTTTGGAGATTGCAGTTTTACTGTTTCATATGTCAATAGACACTTAGGCATCGTTATCGTTCAAAACGAGAAAAAAAGAAGGACGAAGTGGTGAACAAAAAAAAAGAAAGTGACTAGTTCATATTATGATTGATTTTTATAAAAATTAAATAGGATCCTTATATAATGTCAACTTTGACTGTATCATCACATAATTTAATAAATACACAAATGCATTCAGTAATATCTAAACAACGGATTTATTAGTAAAATAGTTCTGTTAAAAAAATTATATGAATTTATTTGTTATTATTATTTTAGTGCTTATCGAAATGATCCACCTGAAGAGCTTGGTCCAGACAAAGATCGTGTACGTGTTGTTGTTCGGTAAGTTTTTCTAATACTAAATTAGATTTCCATTAATTTTTTGTTTCAAAAACAGTGTTCGACCGATGAATAATCGTGAATTAGAAAGAAACGAACGATCAATCTTACATGGCGAAGGTGAAAATTCTGTTACGGTAAATTTTTTATTTTTCATTTAATTTAATAACAAAATGAATGAAATAGGTTCAAGGTGCACAGCATAATCGACGATTTACATTTGATACTATTTTTGCAATAGAATCAACTCAAGAAGAAGTATTTCATTATAGTGGAATTAAACGTCTAGTTGATATGTCTATCGATGGGTATGTAAATGAAATATTAAATTATAAAAACAATTGAAAATATTTCGCTTAGGTATATTGCAACTTGTTTTGCATATGGTCAAACAGGCAGTGGAAAAACACATACAATGATTGGTCCAGGAGGCGCTAATATTGTATGTATCTTTTTCTTGTATATTCTTGAATATCTTCTTGTTTTTGTTTTGTCTAGTTTCGTATGGATGAAAATGTTCGTATAAAATGTTTTGGTTTAGTTCCACGAGCAATCAATTATTTATTTCAACGATTAAGAGAAAAATCTCAAGAAACAACTACTCCGTATTATATTCGTGTATCCTACTGTGAAATATATAATGAACAAGTATAATACAAAAAAATCTTTTTCTTAATAATATTTTGTTTTGTTAGATTCATGATTTAATTAATCCAGCACATAGTCAAAGTTTACAAATTCGTGGATCAGTTGAAGATGGATTTTATGTTGAAAATCTTTTTCAAACTTATATTGAAACAATGGATGAATTATTAACAATACTTGAAGAAGGTTTGAATAAAAAATAGTTTTGTTTAATTTTAATTCTAATAAATATTTAGGTGAATTAAATCGAGCTATGGCTTCACATAATCTTAATGATACATCAAGTCGTAGTCATGCAATGCTTTCAATTCAAATTGAACAAGATATATCAGGAGAAGGTACTACTTCAACAGAACAAATGACGCGACAAGGAAAATTAATTTTTGTTGATTTAGCTGGTAAAGTTTTAATCGAAGTTTTTATCAGAAAATAAAACTTGTATTTTTAGGAAGTGAAAAAGTTAAAGTAAGTCTTTCAAAAGGTAAACAATTAACTGAAACCAATAATATCAATAAAAGCTTACTTACACTTGGTAAATAAATTTAATAAGGTTTAAATTTTGCTGTATTGTTTTATATTAGGTACATGTATTTCGGCATTAAGTGATCCTGTTAAACGTGCTGGTCATATACCTTATCGAGATTCTAAATTAACACGT